CCTTTGGCATTCTGTGACAAAAATACATATGACAATCAAGGACAAAAATAAACATGACTCCAAACAACCTATCTATTCAACTAAAGTAGCAATATCTTGTTGAACCTGTTTCTTGAAAATCAAAAACTCAAATACCAAGTGTAAAAGCATATGAAATGGAAACAGTAAATAAGAAATCGATCATATGTCATTAACCAGATTAAGAAGCAATAATAATGTAAGTAAAAAACACCAAAAACATACATCAATATTGCCAAAACATAAAAAAAAAACTTAATCTAGTCATGAAGTATAACACAATTACCAAAAAATTGAAGATCTATCGATCTACACAATTACGAAAAAATTGAAGATCTATCGATCTATCTATCCAAATATCTACTCCCCATTTTTGTCACAAAGGACAAAGATCAAAACAATGAACTAACTAACTACGATGCAGTACCACCAGCATCTGAAGACTCAGCTCCGCTCTCAGCACTCGTGTCCTCCTCTATACTATCACGAATCCAATGCAAATGACGCTGACACACTGCAAGAGCACGACGAAAAGAAGAAAGTTCAGCTGACTGACGCTCCGACGCAGCTCGTAACTGCGTGATTTCTGCCATCATACGAGCCTGCTGCTCGACCAAAGTAGACATATGTCCCATAAGCGTCACCATGGGGTCAACGGGCAAAGCAGCTACCCCAGGAGCAGAAGTAGATGTCGAAGGAAAGGCAGAACTAAGTGGAATGGTCGAAGGAAAACCCGTACGATGCGGGAGAAACACACGGGAACCCCCAGTAAGAATCTCAGTAATAGGATCAAAGGGCTCTGAAAGATCAAAAACATCAACGGCCGCTACCTGACCTATAGCCTGAGCAGAAGAGGAAGATGAAGGTACATGGATCGACTCTGATGAATGGTCTGCTGTCCTATCGGACGTCCTATGCGACAAGTCGAACCCTCTGGAAAGGAAGCACCCAACGACAAAGCAACCCTATGAATCAAGCAAGCATAAGGCAACCCGATCCGACTCCCAGGAGTACGAAAGGAAGCCAGAATATTCTGGCACACAAAACTAGAAAAGTCGATCGAGTCCCCATGAAGAAGGGCATAAAGAAAACGGGCACGCACCATAGGTAAGGAAGAGGTATGGGCAACCGGCCACAGGTTTGTACACACTATGCGCAACAACACCTGACGATCAGTAGGTAATGACCCAGTGGCCATCGCCGAAGGCCCCCTATAGACGGGGTGTTCAAAAGCGTCGACCGAACAAGAGAATCGACCGGAATAGAAGAAGGTAAAATATATGGATAAGTCGGATGGGTAATCTGAGGTATACCTAAAGCATGAGCTTCAGCCGACGGAGTAACCCTAAAAGAATGACCTCTAAGAGTAACTCGAAAAGACGAGCCGTCTATATCATGAATATTAGCATAGAATTCCTGAACGAGGAGTGGGAGAGGAGGTGAAAGACCAACAAGAAGGGGCTCCCAACCCCGGGAAACAAAGATGGCGACGATATCAACAGGAAGGTCAGAGAGGATTACTTCACGCTCCATGAGAATGGGGCGTAAGGAGAACTGAGAAGTGAAGACCTCCTGAGCTGTAGAAGAAATAAATCTGGAACGACTATACGACGTCGAACCACTAACTGGCTGCGCAGAAGGTCGAGAACGCTTACGGGCCATCTGGCACATGGAGAGACGGAACTTAATTAGTAAGATGAAGAATGCACGGGGTACAATGCACACACAAATGAGGCACGAAAGAGATGCATCGAAAAACGTGAACGACCCTAAGAGCAAACCAAGCATGAAGTAAAGAAACACCAAAAATATGTGTAAAAATACTCAATAAGTCACGTGACGAGAATGAAACACAGACGAAATGAAGAGGAGGAAAAACTGAAACACACAAACTAAGGAAAACAAACAAAACATAACAGGGGACTTTCATCGAACACNAATTCCTGAACGAGGAGTGGGAGAGGAGGTGAAAGACCAACAAGAAGGGGCTCCCAACCCCGGGAAACAAAGATGGCGACGATGTCAACAGGAAGGTCAGAGAGGATTACCTCACGCTCCATGAGAATGGGGCGTAAGGAGAACTGAGAAGTGAAGACCTCCTGAGCTGTAGAAGAAATAAATCTGGAACGACTATACGACGTCGAACCACTAACTGGCTGCGCAGAAGGTCGAGAACGCTTACGGGCCATCTGGCACATGGAGAGACGGAACTTAATTAGTAAGATGAAGAATGCACGGGGTACAATGCACACACAAATGAGGCACGAAAGAGATGCATCGAAAAACGTGAACGACCCTAAGAGCAAACCAAGCATGAAGTAAAGAAACACCAAAAATATGTGTAAAAATACTCAATAAGTCACGTGACGAGAATGAAACACAGACGAAATGAAGAGGAGGAAAAACTGAAACACACAAACTAAGGAAAACAAACAAAACATAACAGGGGACTTTCATCGAACACATGACGGGCGTCACTTCGGCACACAATTCCAAGCACATACGAAACCCAAGCATGCATCCAAGCATAGTCCCACAAACTAGAATACAAGGGCTTTAAAATGAAACAAACCACACATCAAACGGATTAACGGAAGGCAAGAACGAACAACATGAACATGGACGAAAAAACACGAAAATTCCATTACTAAACCATAGAAGAACACACAATTGAATGTAATTTATGATGCAAAATGAGAAGAATAACAAACAAGAAAGGCATGAAGATCATAACAAGGGAAGAAGAAACAATCAAAATACAATAAAAAAAACGAAACATAAGAGGAGGAAAAAAAAGAAAAAAAACGAAAAAAGAACAATCACCTCAAAAACTCTGTGAAAATGTTGAAATCTGGAAGCCAATATATGTTAGGGGCTTCGAAATTGTGTAAGAAACAAGTGTGATGTATGAATTGTGAAGGAGTCGGAGCAATTGGTGAAAAAATGAGAGAATGGAGAAGAATTGCGCGAAAAATGAAATCGGGGACTCTTAAAAAGGCACTGCCGCTCGAGCGAGACATGGGCGAGACTCAAGGGAAAAGCGTTCTGCGTTTGTCGCTCGAGCGAAGTCCAGGCGAGACTCGAGCGAAGGTCAAATGTCAGAAATAGCACTAAATTTTTGAATATGGAGAAAAAGAACACAATTATCAAGAAATGATGAAATTAGCCCAAAATCGTGTATTTTCAAAAATAAGACAAGTGCAGAGCATCGGAAACACGAAGCATGGGAACAATTATGTAAACTATACCAACAATAAGCATAAAGTCACAACTTCGACACTCAGCACATAAACAAATCGTAAGTCCACACATAGTTCAAAATCCCGTGGAGTAAAGTGTATACAAAACATCATCGTGAAAAGTGCCACGTAGTCCATGCAAGTAAGACTCAAAAACCTTAAATTAGTGAGAAAGGACACGTGAAAACAACCAGACAGAGGTGTATGTCTACCAAGTGATAGTCAAATCCAATTCCACGAGGACCTATATCAAATATTACGATTGTCACAATTTTACTCCCCCTAACTGTATGATTCCATAAGTTTTTTTTTTTTAACGAAAGAACTTAAGTGCAATGCTATCCCCATTAGGCGACATAAATGACCCCGATAATGAACTTTGGGCCGGTGACTCCCAAGTCAGATGACCATAGGGCACCAGGTTAGAAGCCCCTCAGGCTTAATTGTTTGAGTCAAATAGGCCCCGAAGACAGTCATAAGTTCAACAAAATAAAAGTGGGGAAAGACAATATGATTAGGTGACACTAGTCCCAGATCAAGTCAAATGGACACATAACCCCAATCACAGAAGAACACCATCCCAAGTCTCACCCATGCGGTCAAGACTCACTCACAGGACTACGGTGTGTGCTGTGCAAAAATGAATGACGAACCATATACCCAGAACTCCATAGGCAAAGAGAATGATAATGGAACCTCAGACTTGTACATATGATGAAAAATAGAGTTTGATCTTTAATGCAAAAGTCATTATCGGCACATAAAAGGCACACACAAAAAAATCCCATTTTATTTTTATGGTTTATTATGATTACTATGTTTATTTTATTTTATTTTTATTTATTTATTTATTTATTTTTATTTATTTTCATATTTAAACACACAAAAGAAGATTAAACGACAAACTAACAATCAAAAATGCATCACACACACACAGATCACATGCAAGATATGAAGTGACTAGGTGCATATGTGATGAATGCATGAATATGCATGAATCCATGATCAGATAGGTGAGCAAACACCAACAGCCGTCCGAAGCGATTTAAACCTCAATCCATCTAGTGGTTTCGTAAGTAGATCTATCAATTGATTATCAGTAGAGACATGGTCGAGAGAGACTACATGTGATTCAACAAGCTTACGAATAAAATGATGTCGTATGTCAATATGTTTTGTTCGAGAGTGTTGAATGGGATTCTTAGAAATATTTATAGCACTTGTATTATCACAGAAAACAGTTATGCTCACTTGACTAATTCCATAATCACTCAGCATCTGCTTCATCCAGAGAAGCTGAGTGCAGCAACTCCCTGCAGCTATGTATTCGGCCTCTGCCGTGGATAGAGATATAGAATTCTGTTTCTTACTCAACCAGGCTACGAGATTGCTACCCATGTAAAAACAACCCCCTGTCGTGTTTTTCCTATCATCTGCGTTCCCGGCCCAATCGACGTCGGAGTAACCAACCAAGTCAAGATTAGAATTCCTAGAATAGAATATTCCTAGATCAACCGTTCCACTCACATATCTAATGATGCGTTTAACAGAGCTTAAGTGTGATTCTTTTGGATCTGCCTGAAATCGAGAACACTCTAACACTAAAAGCAATGTCAGGTCTAGTAGCTGTGAGATAAAGAAGACTACCTATCATGCTTCTATATAGGGAAGGATCGACACTCTTACCTGAAGCATCACGACCTAACTTCAAGCTAGTACTCATAGGTGTCCTAGTATGCTTCTTACTATCCAGCCCAAAGCGCTTAACTAGATCCTTAGCATACTTAGACTGTGAAATGAACAGTCCATCCTCTGTCTGTCTCACCTGAGGTCCAAGGAAATAACTCAACTCCCCAACCATACTCATCTCAAATTCTTGCTTCAAACACTCAGCAAACTCATAAGCTAAAGACTCAAGAAGAGAACCAAAAATAATATCATCGACATAAATCTGAGTAACGGTGATAGTTTCTTCAACATGTCTAATAAATAAGGTCCTATCTGCACCACTCGAGAGAATCCATGTTCTTCAAGGTATGATGTAAGTCTCTCATACCAAGCTTTAGGAGCTTGCTTCAGACCATAGAGGGCTTTGTGAAGTATGTAGATATAGTGGGGAAACTTAGGATCAACAAATCCTTTTGGTTGTTCCGCATAGACTTCTTCTTGAAGAAGTCCATTCAAGAAGGCACTCTTAACATCCATTTGATGCAACTTGAACCCTAGGGTACATGCAACAGCAAGCAGAATCCGAATAGACTCAAGTCGTGCAACAGGGGCAAAAGTCTCATCAAAATCAATTCCTTCAACTTGAGTATAACCCTGAGCAACTAGTCTAGCCTTATTCCTAGTTATAGTACCTTGGTCATCTGTCTTGTTCTTAAAGATCCACTTAGTACCTATAACATTACAATTCTCAGGTCTGGGAACTAAGATCCACACATTGTTCCTCGCAAATTGATTGAGCTCCTCATGCATCGCATTCACCTAACACTCATCATTAAGAGCCTCTTCAACTTTCTTAGGTTCTACCTGAGAGACATAGCTAGTGTATGCTATATTGTTCAGTACTCTCCTACGACGCCTCATACCTTCATCTAGATCCCCAATGATATTGTCCTTAGGATGATTAGACTTAACCCTAGTCAATGGTTCCTTAGGATCTTTATCTCGATCTTGTGGAAATGTTTTCTTTTCAGGTGTTTCAGGTTTCCTAAGAGATGATTCAGACACAGGTGGCTCAGTAGGATCACTAGAACTTATAAGATCACCATCTTTATCACAATTTTCAACACTCTCCCCCTCACTCACAGCATCATCTATCACAACATTTACTGACTCCATCACCACATGAGTACGTAAGTTATACACCCTAAATGCTCGGCTATTTCTAGAGTACCCTAAGAAGATTCCTTCATCACTCTTCGATTCAAACTTACTCAAGTTCTCTCTATCACGCAAAATGTAGCATTTACTCCCAAACACTCGAAAGTATTTAACAGTAGGCTTTTTACCCTTAAGTATCTCATATGGAGTCTGATCGATCTTGGGTCTAAGGTAAACTCTATTAATTATGTGGCATGCAGTATTAACAGCTTCTCCTCAAAATGTAGGGCTAGTCCCTTGCCATGAAGCATGGCTCTAACCATGTCCTGAAGAACCCGATTCTTCCTTTCAACCACCCTATTTTGTTGAGGAGTGATAGGCGAAGAGAACTCATACAATATCCCTTCATCCATACAGAAACTTTCAAGATTAAAATTCTCAAACTCTTTTCCATGGTTACTATGCATTCTAGACACTTTGAGATTTAGTTGATTGCTAAGCCGTTTACACAAAGATTTTATGAGATCACATGCATCAGATTTTTCCCTAAGCAATTCTATCCATGTGAATCTCGAGAAGTCATCTACCACAACAAGAATGTATTGCTTACCACATAAACTCTTAGTCCTAGATGGTCCCATTAAATCCATGTGTATCAATTCTAGGGGTCTTTTGGTCAGAATTTTTGAAGTCTTCTTATGGTTCCCCTTAAGTTGTTTGCCTAGTTAACATGGTCCACACACAACATTTTCACTAGGACCTATCTTAGGCAAACCATCTACCAATTCTTTCTTAGCCAGTTGTACTAGACTCTTATAGTTCAAATGACCTAATCTTTTATGCCAGAGTTCACTCACATCAATTTTAGCACTCCTACACACATAGTTAGAATTAGGCAAGACTCCATAACAATTATCAGTTGTTCGAACCCCTTCAAGAACCACCCCACCAAACGAATCATACACAGTACATATCTTTTGCACAAAACTCACTTCAAAATTAGCATCACAAATTTGACTAATACTTAACAAATTAGACTTTAAACCTTCCACATAAAGCACATTAGAGATCACAGGTAAACTATGTATTTGTACAGTACCTTTGCCAAGAATAGGTGCAAAACCCCCATCTCCAAAGGTAACCATACCACCGTTACATTCATCAAGAGTAGTGAATAAAACCTTATTACCACACATATGTCTAGAACATGCACTATCTAGGTACCACATGTTGTAATTTTGGGCTTTCAATGCAACATGAGCAACAAAACACTTTTCTTGACCTGAAAGTCTAGCTAGATCACCCTTTTTGACCCAAACTTTCTTAGATGATAAAGTACTCCTAGTAAGCTTAGTAAGCATCTCAGTTAAATGACTAACCTGATTAGACAGAAAGCTAACCTGACTAGGAATGTTCAGATTTTTACGCTCATTCCCTAACCTATAGCATCTAGGCTTAGTGTGTCCTAAGGCTCCACAGTGGTGATAGGTGGGAATGAACCTAGGCTCAAAGGTACGTGGCTGAGGGTATCTGGGTATAAAGTTCCTACGTGATTGATGGCTCTGTTCTCTCGGAACATTCTTACCCTTATTTGAACTACTAACAGCATTAACTTTCTTAGAGGCAGAAACAAAAACAGTCTTAGAAGGTCCAGCAACATGTGTATTACTCTCAACATATCTTAGACCCTTCCTATCTCCTACAGGCTTATTCATTTCCAAAATATTGTCCAATTTCTTAGTCCCACTTACGAAAGTCTGAAGATGAGCATTAAATTTCACCAATTCACTAGTCAAAGTCTTAATCTTATCTTCTAACTTCTCATTGACACACTTTAACTCACTGCCACTCTTAAGTGAATTCTGAAGATTACTAGCAAGTTTCTCTTTTTCTCTCTCAAGTTCATCAACCTTTTTGAGTAGGGCTTTATTGACCTTTTTGATTTTAAGACTCTCCTTAAATAAAAGTTGATAAGCTTCTTGTATGTCTATGTCATCCTCTTCCTCATTACTAGAATTATCGTTTGGAAGTTCTTCCTCAACCTTGTCGCTCTCCTTATCAGATTCACTCTTAACAGTTGATACAAATGCCATATAGTTTCCTTCGTCCTCACTACTAGAAGATTCCTGTCTGTCACTGGTCTCAGATTCATTATCTGTAAATGAGACAACTAAGGCCCTACCTTTCCCTTTTCTTTGGTTCTTCTTATAACTAGGGCATTCATTCCTAAAGTGACTTATACCTTGACACTCATGGCACCTAACCAAACGTGGTTTATCACTCGACCCTTTATTGTTGAACGTTTCAGTTTTTGCTTTTGTGAATCTGCTAGGAGCTCCACTCTTTTTATCCTGAGGTTTTCTCCTATTCTTGAGAACTTTTTGAAATTTCTTAACAAAGTATGCGATTTCCTCGTCCCTAAGTGACTCAGTATCAGAAAATTCATCTTCTTTGATGGATTTTAGGGCTATGGACTTTTCTTACTTAGGTTGTGTAATAGTGAGTTCATAAGTTTGCAACGATCCTACCAGTTCTTCAATTTTAACTTCATTTAGGTCCTTACTTTCCTCAATGGCAGTGACTTTAGGCCTAAATCTCTCGGGTAGGGACCTAAGCACTTTTCTCACAATTTTAGACTCGGGAATTTTCTCACCTAGATTGAAACTAGAGTTAACAATGTCATTCAATTTAGCATAGAATTCGTCAAACATTTCATCATCCTTCATTCTCACTTCTTCAAACCTAGAAGTTAGCATTTGTAACTTAGAGTTCTTTATCGTTTTAGTTCCCTCATGGGTGGTTTCAAGAATGTCCCAAACCTCTTTAGCAGATTCACACATTGACACTCTCCTAAACTCTTCGAGAGACACGGGCATAAACAGGGCATGAAGACCCTTGCTATTCCAATTACACTCAGTTATTTCATCCTTAGTCCATAGTGATATGTCGGTAAGGTTAACAGTTCCTGATACGATAGTAGAGGGAGGTTTCCAACCATTTTGCACACTTACCCAAACATGCTCATCTAAAGATTTAAGAAACGCACGCATTCTAACCTTCCAATAGGCATAATTACTTCCGTCAAAATACGGAGGTACAGAATGTGATTGACTCATCTAGACAACTATGGGTCAGGACTTGAGATTTAGCTCTGATACCACTTGAAAAAGCAATAGTTCGACCCAACCAACACCTAGAGGGGGGGTGAATAGGTGTTTATGCGGAATTAAAACAATTAATTAACTGATGCAACAAGTCACATCAATTATGCATTGCCTAGATTCATTCACATACTTTATCTACCTAAGTTGAATTACCGGTTGAAAAATAAATAATAGAAAGCAATAAAAACACAACAAAATGTTGACGGAGAAAACCCAACTGGGTAAAAACTCCGGGCACAAACCAGTAGAGATCCACTATAGAAGATATTGACTTACAGTATGTCAGACACTTTTGATTCTAACAATATTCTGACCTCCTTACTGTATCGACCACATCTATCTTGGATTTTGCAAATCTGCGCCAAAATCCTAGCGTTGAATATCTTCTACCTCCTGTGAATCACCAAGCACTCCAGCTCTTCAAGCAATTTCCTTCCCGGATCTTCAAACAGATGATCTTTTGGAAGTTTATGTGGAGATATGAAAGGGTGTTTTGGTTTTGTGAGGGTTGATGTTTTTATTCAAAGAACCATGAGAATCAAAGATGAAAAGAATGAATTTATTTTGGCTCTTGATCCTTTGGAAGTTGAGAGGAATTGTTGTTTTGATGTTTGCCAAAGGTATCTAATGAAAATCGATCGTTTTGTTTATATAGTAGGTCGAATTTGGTAATATAGAGCGTTAAAAATTCGCGAGGCATTAAAATTACCAAAGGCCAGATAACACAGTCGCTTGAGCGAGGTCCTGGCGGAACTCGAGCGACGTACCTTTGCTCAGGCGATAGACCAGCGAAACTCCAGCGAGGTTAGTTCTGCAATTTTGGCTCTAGCAAGGTCAGGGCGAAACTCCAGCGACATCAATGCGCCGTTTGCATCTTCAAAGCATCCCACTTTACCCTAGACCTATGCTATGACCTTTACAAAATTGCAACTTTAGTCCCTGAACTATTTGACCTGTACAATTTAGTCCTTGACTTTACAATTTTGATAAATAGGTCCTTTAGTCACAGATTGCCAATTACACATTTTCCTAACATTTACTATTATAATACTCATGGTAATATTATACTCACAGTGAAGGAATTGGATAAAATTGGTCAATATTCTACTCAGTTGTGGTAAATACTTGGATCATCCAAAACGTCTTTGACCAACTAATATAAGTAAAAAGATTTTAACAAAAAAATTAAAAAATCCAATATACTCTTCCTTAATCTACCCCCACCTAATCCGAAGGCCAAAATTCATGTCGCTGGAGATTGTGTGGTAAATGAGGAAGTGAACCCACCTCAACATCCAATCGATCGAAGGCGCCGATTGAGAGTTACGAGTTGCTTTATTTTAGGCTTTAGCCAAACATGCTCTTTATAATATGTTCACAGAAGGCTGCATGCAATGGATAGTGGACCAGTGACTGCAGAGGATTTATTGGATCCTTTATATTTCATTGCACTCACCTTATTTACCCACGGGTATGTTAAGAGTCCATCACTAACTACCCTTAAATCAATAAAAAGTTAAATTAAAATTAAAGGTAAAAGTCGATGTGAGAGTAAATCAATGGTTGCCTTTGGGATTCAGTCAACCGAATGAATACCTCAAGGACGTACAAAATGGAATATTTAAGCAAAAAATTCTATAATTTTATTGACGAAAAAGATTATATAGCCTCTGGATGATGATCCATCAGACCGAAAGAGGATTTTTATGCTTTGATTGAGCAGGTATAATGAGAAATGGACTTTCCACCCCTTTACACGCAAACCATATTGGACAGACAAGGCCACGTCTAGGGCACCGAATTGGCGCCTCCCTATTGGAGGGGACACCGGGCCGTAGGCCCTATCCAAGAAGATTTGTTCTTTACACTGAGATTTAGAAAGTCAAAAACAAATAACAAGATTGAAGTTGAACCAAGATAATTGACCTACATTTTATGTAGTGAGCAAAGCAAGTCATTAGTCAAATTTTTTGAAAGACAATCGAAATAAAATTCAACTTGTAAATCTTTTAAGATTGGCAAGAGGGGAACCGGATGTCATTATAGTCTAATTACAATCTCAATATTTTAAAATTATCGCCACGTCATAATTAACTTGTCCTCAACTATTCTATGTTATAATTAGGAACATTAGATCATTGCATTTCTACTAAGTTCAAATGCTAAATGATTGCATGAATTTTTGAAAATTTGAAAATAGAAAAAGCTTTAGACCTTCCAATAAAGCAAGTATTGTCTTTCGGAAACTTCACGTCTACGTGTGTAAAGTGTACATAAATTAAACCAATGTTTAATTGTCAATAAAGTGTCCTAATAAACATAATGTCAATAAAGTGCACTAAAGGGGCTTAAATGGAGCAAAAATAAAGTCTCTTCACAAATTTCTTTCCCTTCGCTTTCCCAACTTTCAAAACTCGGCTGTTAAGCAACATACAATTACTCTTCCTAAAGCATCTTTACCTGATGATAAGTTTTAGTATCACTTTTTTCTGATTTTTTACTCTCTTTATCTTCTACCCTTCTAGCAGCACGTGCAAGTTCGCGGTCACGTGCCACACCCTCACTACAAAAAGACAACCTAGCTAACTAGGGTTAGGGTTTTTATAGCGTACATGAGACCAAATCTTTGCACGACCAAGAATCTCTCTAGATTAGATTTGAATAGAAAACTCAAAATAACCCTTCTCTTCTTTCTAATTAGTTCTTGATTAATAATTCTCTATTTTTGAGTTTCCAAAAAGTATTTCTTTTGTCTGCAATATGAATATTGTATCACTACTCTTAGTCAATAAAGCAAAAGTTAAGAAGACAATACTTAGTCAAACTTTATGTGGAAACTTTACCGTATTTCGTTGTTAGACAAAGTACTGGATTAAATGAATTATATACACATTATAGATGCATCTAATTACCTAACAGTCGAGAAGTATCTGTCACTGTTTAGATTTTTGTGCGATGGAGAAGACCTTTTCTTGGGGGTGGGGTGGGTTGGAAGAAGTGAAAGAGAGAGGTGGAGAATCCATACAAGGTATAAAGAGATAGATCAGATGCTTAAAGTAGGAAAAGGCAAAGGTTTTCTGGGTATCAGAAGTATAGAAGCCTTGACAGAAACATATTAAAACCACATTGTTTGTCACTCAGTTTCTTCCATCATTTCGCTTTCAGAGAATAACACACCCTGTCTTTTAAATAATAACTATAATTTTACTACCATTTTGTTCTCTTCTCTGTGCATGTGTTTCTCACTTTTTCATTTTTGTTTGGGTACGCATGATTGTACAGTTTCAGATAAAAGGAGAAATATTGGGAGATCCTAACCTTAATCATCATGGCCTTCTTTTCCTATAAAACATAGTGGGGTGGGCGGGGAGGCTTTCTTCTCGGTAATAATGACAATAATACTGATAATTAAAACAATAATGATGCTGCTAAATTTACACTAATTCGTGAATTTTTAAGTTATTGGTGGAAAAAAGCTAATCCAAATTGAAGAAGACGTACTAGTTTCTCGGAGATATGTGGTCAGATTTGTACGTATAATTCATTAAATGCATTGATAAGAGAAGCAAAAAACAAGAAAAATTGCCATTGAGTCAGTCAGGCTGCAATCTTTCTGAGTTTTCCTCCAAGTAGAACTGAAAAAGAAAAGTATTCAGGTCCAGGGTCATCTCTCTCTCTCACATTCTCTCTCTCTCTCTATTCTTTTCTGTCCTTGTGCATTTATTAATCTAGCTGAAATATTCAGATAACAAAACCAGAAAGAGAGGAAAAAGAAGGAGAAGAGGAGTAGATAACCAATCATGAAAGGGAGTTGAATGCAAAGAAGATAGTCATATAACTAAAAAAGATATTACCTTTGGGGATTTGGACTTGATTTGATCTTTTGTTACACTCTAAACAAAACCCACCTGAATTCATGGCGGGGGAGCAAGGTAACACCGCCACTATAGTTATATTTACACAGAACAAGTCACAAATTCTCACACGCAATGGAAGGTCCATTTAAATATACGCTTATACTAGAGGACTTTAAAACTTCAAGATCGAAAGAAAACAGAAACTTAATGAAAATAAGCGCTAGAGAATAAACCGAAAAGTTCTTTTTTTTTTTCTTTTGGTAAAATCTTGAATAAGGGCATCTGGGAACGCTAACATGGAGAAGGCGGCATGAGGTTCAACCCTAAATCATCCTTTTCCAAGACCAATCTTGTCTTGTTTATCTCCACGGAAGAAGAATAATCTGGATGTGATCTTTTCTTGGACGAGAGAGGCACGCCAAAGAGCTTAGTTCTGCAGCTTTGGTCTTCAACCATTGTCACACTGCTCTGTGAAGTCTTGCTAGGATTAGTAGAGTTGTTGAATGAGCCCAGAAAAGAATTACCCTGTTTAGGGTTTGATGCCATCTGATGGTACCCAATAAGCTGGTTTAATGGCCTTTGAACAGTTGAAGAACTAATGATGGGTGTGGCAGCAGTATTAGTAGAGAATAAAGATGTAGGATAAGAGTTGCTCGGTGCCACTGGTTTTACATGGTTCTGAACAAAATAAATGATATCATTGTATAGTTTCCTCATGTGGGCTAGTTCAGAAACAAGCATGTTGTTGCTTCTCCTAAGCCTTTGGTTGTCTTCAGAAAGCGCTGTGACTGAGTTGTAAGCATAGGTGGCATCACCACTTGTGCCATTTATTGCAGCGGAGATACTGGTGGGGGAAGAGAGTGGTGGCGGTGAGTCACACCAGTGGTTGTTTGGTTGCTGCTCGTCCGAGTCAGGTGGAGAGATGCTGACTCGGCTAGGGTACGGAAAGAAACTCTGTCCACTCATAGTTTGATTGAGAGGGTGGTGATGGTTTAAAGTCACCTGCGGCTGAGATGTTTTTCTCCGGTGGATCTCACACAGCAAGTGTTTCTCCCCTTTCTTGAAGAACTCATTCGCAAACTCCCATCTGTCTGGTACAATTTTTCTGAAACCCTAGTTTCATCACCACCCAAACATCAAAAAAAAAAAAAAAAAAAAAATTTTCACCCCCCCCCAAAAAAAAAAAAAAAAAAAAAAAAAAAAAATAATAATAATAATAAATAAAAAAAAATGATAAAGACATAATAATTTGATGTGTCTATCTGTAAATAAAGAATTACTTACATAGGTGTTGAGCTGGCGAACAAAACTAGAGAAATTATTGTGCTTAAAATAGTTGGGAAGAAGGTCCCTCGCAAACTCCGGTGGACGCCAAACAACAAAGGTTGTATCATCTTCTCCCCAAGAAACAATGTGGTCTGTGTTCGGATCATCAACAAGCTGATAAGTTTTTGTCAAAAACGGCGCCGGAACTGATTTGTTCGAATCTAGAGATAATAAGAACCCTTCACAATTATCTAGCATCATAGCAATTGATGAACAAAATGTTGGCTTTGATCAGAGAAATCTACAGATGATGATTATTTTGTGTGAGAAGTGAATTTTTATATTAACCTCACCTCGGGTTTGTAGTAGAGAGAGAGAGAGAGAGGAATATGTGTCTGTCCGTGGACTGTGAAATAAGGGCTTTTCAAGACAAACCCGTGACACGCTCTCTCTCTCTCTCTCTCTCTCTCTCTCTGCGCGCGCACACACTCACGCACAACAGACGCACTGCATTAGTGGGCGGAGGTAAGAGAATTTACGGTGCCACCCCTCTCCCCCTTTTCAATGTCCTTTCTAGAAATAACTTTTCTCTTTTTCTTTGCCTTTAATCTTTAAAGAAAATCAAGTCGTTAATCTATGAAAAAATGAATCATCTTAAACGTAAAGAACGTATTTTGGTGATTGAACAACTTTTACTATTTTCTACATTCTGTATTTACTTTTTCCTCTACTTTGCAACATTTATCTCGAAATCTTATCCAAGAAAAATATTTTCTTGTAATTTTTTGGTGTAACAAGTTCAGTTGAAGGAATTTGAGGGCAGTTTGGTAATTGAAAACAAGATTCCCCTGGTATGGAAGAATGGAAAAAAGAAATAGAAATGGAAGATTATGAAGGTTCACGTCAAACGGGTGTGTTTTGTAGTTTCCTTTTGTAGTTTTCTCTTTGTTGTTTAATGGCACCAACCCAGATACACATACACACACTGACTGCGTGTTTCTCTTTCACGCACAAATAGCGAATCCCCATCATTTTCTAAATAAAGGTTGAACTCCAACTTTGAGTATCCACACCGTCCCGCCCCTAGAGCTTTGTGAGAAGGATAAATCGCGGGATGCGCTCCAACAGATTAAGAAACAAAAGCTGTCTGTACACTACGCCTACAAGAAGTCCAATTCTATGTCTTAGGAATCGAACCCCCACACTGCGATTGCCAACAAGGCGTGAGATAACCTCACTCATGTCCTTTGCACCACTGAGCTATGCCCTGAGGAGCGAATCCCCATCATTTTCTACTCCTACTGCTTCTGCTTCTTTGCATATTTAATAAGGAAAAGCCATACATCGAACTACGTGATGGGATTTTTAAGCAATCCTATTAGGTGTATAGAAATGATCAACAATTTTTTTGCCAGAATGTCGTTTGACAAGATTTCATTGGTTGTTGGACAAAAAAAATTGTTAAATCAATCAATGTAGTGTTGCCACTTGTGCATCAATAATTTTTCTGTAAATTTCATTTGTACGAGAAGCTTAATTGATTTTTAAATGGCTTGGCTCAAGTTCATCTGCATGAACATTAACACATTTTAGAATTTGCTATAAAACCAGAAATTAAGAAAACAAAGGCATTGATTCAATTTTGATAGTAGGTAGGAAAGGAAAATTAAAGAGTAATTATTTAACAAAGATACACAACTGATTATTTTGATCATTTGGGTTTGATACTACTCATTATTGGGGAAAAAAGTGCCTACGACTATGAGTGTTTTTATCTTTTTCGAAAAAAGAGTTTGGCTGTTCTCCACATTCATGATTGTTAGATATAAATGCTAAAATTATGAGAGATAAGAGAGCCGGATGCTAGACATGGATGGTCAAAGACTTGAACACTGCATTTTAACTAAGAGATTCCATAAAGCCAAATTATTGTTCTAATCACCAAAAAAAATAAAAAAATCTAGTTATCTTTCTAAATAGATTCTTGCCAAAAATTTCATTTCAATCGAGTCAACAGGCCTATAAACTTTGTTGTACCAATGTATATACAAGATTCCAAAAATTAAGGCCGTGGTTGGTTTGCCGTTTTCGACCCATTTTTCGTTTTCTGTTTTCGAAATGCGAAAAATGCGTTTGGTCCGTCATTTTCGAAAACGTATTTTCGAAAACGAGTTAAAATTTATAACTGAAAACGTAAAATGACTTTTTATCGTTTTTATCGTTTTCAGTTATAAATGTCGAAAATGCAGAAAACGTGCTGTTTTCGGGAAAACTAAAAATCGTTTTGCAAATGAAAATGGAAACCAACTGCATCCTAAGCGAATATTGTACAGAAAAATGAATTAATTATTATTCTATCAAATTAAGCAAAAGTGAACATGAAGAAACAGCGTCAGCTTCATATCCCGATGTTCAAAAATAAAAAATGATTTGTTAAACTCTGAACAAGAAGAAGAAGAAGACGACTTCTAAAATGTTTTCTTTCTTGCCAGTTTTCACACACACACACACATGCACAGTTCTGCATTTTTCTTCTGTAGAGTTTCAGCGGCTGACATGGAAACAGGCCTTCCTTTTTATTTTGTGATATGCTCTCGTGATACTTATTTTGGATTTTTCCTTATATTTATTCTTAAACATCTCTTCACTTATTCATGTTACAAGCACACTATGGGAATATATCACATGTAATTGCATCGATCTAGAGGTACCTCATATGCTCTAATAGTCTTTACTTTTTAAGAATCATTTTTAACCTCATTCTGTAACTCTGACTGTAAAACTGTGCATGCCACACTACTCTTCTAGGGAAAAACTTGTGTTACATAGATTATAAACTTATAACGTATTTAAATTTGTTTTCAACTCATTTCTTGTGAGAAATTTGTTTCTTTTTCCTAAGTGGAAAGGATAAATTGAAGAGAAATGCTACTTGCACCCTGTGCAATGTCCGATGCAGTATTGGCAACACTGCATTGGCTGTCAATACTGATCATTTTTTGACAATGCCCAATGCAGTGCCGTCAGCACTATATCTAACAGTGTACATCACCTTGTACAAATAGACTTTCGGTAAATTGAAGGGTTCGAACAAATTGTCAGCAGCTTTAACAAGGATGTGTATCTATCAATGTAATACCAATCCATGAACAAAAATATTTAAAATGTTTATTGTTAGTAGAGAGTAGACAAGAAGATTCTATTCTATAATATCTAAGAAGGCAGTGGAAATGAACCCCACCAGCTCTCACATGACCACTGATACCTACTCTTTCAAAAAATTTAATAATCATGCTGACATAATGAGAATTCCTAGGAGAGACAGCTTAAAACACACACCCAAATACTACTTATAATTAAAACCCACATTTTTTTAAACCTAGATTAACACACATGATGTACTGACAGATGTATATACTTTAGTATGTGTGTCTGAGTGTATAAATATATATTTTAATGTCTGTCTATTCAAACTAGTAAGGACGAAAGAATAAAATTGTTTGTACAGATGAATTGTACAGGACAATTTATAAGTATCGAGAGGGCAGCACTTTATTTACTGTTTTAATTTTGATTTTCGTCCAAACTCAACTCTGTCTCTTTTCAAACTCTCTTTTGTCCGTTCCACTGGACCCTATCTGCACCAATAGAACCAAAAACAAATCTATATGTTTAAATGTATTTATACAAACATTTTTATTTTTTATTTTTTTGTTTCTCTCTTTAAGAATATGATCAAAGATGGTCTTCAAATCAAAGGCTCTCCTGCAATATGCATGGATTCGTATAAATTGGATTAATGGGTGGTGGTGGGGGTATGTAATAGGGAACACGAGGAAGTGGCAATCTGAAATTATTGGAGAGGACGAAGGGTACGGTTTTGTCTCTGTAGGGTTTATGGTGCCACTCAGGCTCAGCCGCTGATATGTCCTCTATCTGCTACAAGAGACATCTTTGTGGACTGTCTTCTATTTCAGGTCTCGCCAGTTGCATTAATGGATAAATCCGTTTTTTTTTTTTTTAAATTAATTTTCTATTTTCTGGCAAAAAAATATGATGGTTGACAAATAATAATGCTCTAATTATGATAGTTAAGTTGAAAAATCTTGAATTTTAATTTGTTTACACTTAAGAAGATTTTGTTTAGATCTAATTTTCAACTTAAGCTTATTAAAATAGCATTTAGCGTAACATGGTCTTCTTCATCTCTACCGTCACACCCTTTGGTTAAGAAGCTAAATAGGACAAACAGTCCATGTAGATCTGGGTCAATTTTTTTGAATGATAAAATTGGTCCAAAAATTCTTCAACCTTTTAACATTGGTCAAAATAATATTTAGTCCACGTCTATCTCAATTATAAATTTTAGTCCACTCTAAAGTTTAATTCTAGTTTTGGCCTTATCCCCGTGACCTACTTCCTAAGACAAACTAAATACAATATCGCGAAACTTCTGAATGAATACTCAAGGGTTCTCTAGAGTTTCCCAATAGAAACTCGAGAGCAACTGGGAGTCTTAGTTTTAATACTGTGTTAAATATTGTTTTACGGAAATTTTAATTGCTTATTGGATTATTAACATGAAAATTGAAATTTGCAGTGGAATAACTAGTATATGAAGTAATTTCAATTTCATGGTCTATCAAGTCAAAATCTTCTAGATCAACTCGATGTTACTAGCCCTTAGAGAGATTGCAAGGAAGCTAATGAGCCAACAACTAGTAATCTAGTTGCAAATCATATTTGTCAAGACACAAGCATTGTGGGATTACAAAATTGCATCTTAATCATAGGTCTATTTACAGCTGATGCTTTTGAATACATGCATAACGATATTGATGGAGCTTAGATTTGCCATAAATGGAGTAATATGCACAAATTTATGAACTTCGACAATGATAATGATTAGTGTGAAGTGATCATGAGCCAACTATATATTATACACGTTACACGATGATGAGAAGTATGACTAAAGTTCAGTTAAACTTCCCATATTGTATCTCCATTGGGAGGAGGTTTGGTCCAATGCCCCCTTCCTATACTTATGTTTCTTTTATTTTCAGTATGAATAAGTATTCTACCCTCTTGTGGTTAGAATTGAAAAAAATACATAAGTATTTAAGTACTTAGGTGGACACTAAATGGAACTTGTTGAAATTGAAAACGAA